ATATACTTATATTATAATTAATATTATACATAATATTCTTATTATATCTACACGTTGTAACGTTCAATAATAGTAAGTATCTATAATTCTACTAATATTAAGGTTTTGACTGCCAATAGAAAATGGTTGAAGGCAAATCCTCCGCTAACATCGGCCACCGGTGAACCCCATGGCGATTAATGTGTTAATATTATAAATGCGGAAGCTTATATGTATGTTTGTTTTACCTCCACATCAGAACTGCTGCAGGAATCACGATAAATTTTTGGTCCAAGGATAGATTATAATAAGTAAGGCGACCAACTTTCTTTCTTTCCAAAGCGAAAAACCAAGTCCAATGCGGGACTTTTTGTGTTGTTGACTGTTGCCCTATACTGAACCGCGGAAGGCCTAAGCAGGAGAGGAACGAGGTGGTTTTTAGTCAGTAAGAGTCTGTTACTGCCTCTTGCCTAATCCAAGGCGGAAGAAGTCATTGGATGATATTCCTCCTACAAAAAAATGTTGTTCTGTGCTGAACTTTTTCTCCTTCTAGCCCTTTAGGACATCATTGTTCACGTTCACACACATAACTTACTTCGTCAAACAAGTTATCTTCATTTATTCGCGCTGTTAGTGCGCGTGTGGTTGTGTCGTGTAGTAGAGGAATAGGTATGCGGGACTTGCGGAACGCATCTAACGTTTTACGGGACTATTTTATTAATTATTTCAAAACGGAATTACATCTAGTATTACGGGACGGTCCCGCAGAATACGGGACGGTTGGCCTCCTTAATTATATGGGACCTGACCATAGACTTTCTTGTATTTGTTTTTTGAGGGAGGAAAATCATATATAATGGCTTCTCTCGCCCGAGTGAGACGAGAGAGAGTGTCAGAACTATTATTGATTAAAACCACACCGTTCCTTCTCCTGCACTTCGAGCCGGAGTCCCGGTAACCCGTTAAAATAACATATAGGCACGTTTTATCCCACGGCAATGTCGCTGGCAGAAGCTAGTTAGAAATGTAATTATATTCATAAAAATATATATGGAACAAAAAATATTAATATAATTTATAATATACTAGAACTTCATGTAAAAACAGACGAGCTTCCCAGTAACTTACAACGATGATGAAATATATAATAATGAATTTAAATTTTACTTTAATTGCATAACATTAACATACATAACATCACGCCTTCTTTATCCCCGAAGGGGTAGGCAGTTACGGCACATGCCACTGTAAAATGAAGCAATCACTTTTCACTATTTATGTTATGAATCCCATCCCGTGTAATAGAGGGCCAGCCTATTGCCCCATACCGCAGACATTTGCAGGCAGTAGCTCCGTGCTACTACTGACATTTTTTTAAACCCCAGTAATACTTTGCCTGACTTGGAAATAAAACCAGAGACCCTTGCACGGCAGTCGCAATAGCGATCACCCGGCCAACGAGGCAGAACATTTTACTTTAATTATACATAATTAATATTATACATTAATGAATTGAGGTAGGTACGGAGTTCAGGTAAACATAATCTGAATATTAGTTAACGTAAGTTTAATACTAAGTAAATCGATACAAAACTAATCAGGTAACTGAAATGCTTTCAAATCACTAAACCATTCTCTCTATCGTGTCGTAGTGTCACGGAGGTTTAGTCTTTAAGACGCCCGATCCTCATGCATGAGGGTGCGAAACCCACCAACCGCAAGTACCAATATGACATTTTCCGAGTTATATGTACTTTCTAAGATTATTCAGATACCACTGACAAACGGTTTAGAAAAACATCGTGAGGAAACCTGGACTTATAATTTCTAATTATAAGTTTGAAATCACCAACCCACATTGAGCAAGCGTGGTGATTAATGCGCAA